ATGGCAGGAGTAATTCATGTGATCTTCATCGAAGTGTTTTATTGACCACGTGTGTCAGAGAACTTAGAACTAAGGGTAAAATGGAGCTGAGAGTGGGAATATAGGCAGCGTCAGATCCCAAAGGCCTTGACTGAGGGCCTTTGGTATTACCTATAGGCAATGTGGAGTGGGATACGGAAGGATTTGAGCAGAGGGGGACAGGATCAGATCTGAATGTCGGAAAAGGAAAGCACCCCTCTGGGGCCAGTGTGGGCTGGAGGTAGGATGCTCCAAGGAGGAGGCTGGGACAGTAGCTCAGGTGAAACGAAAGGAACCTGGAGGAGGGGTTCTCGCCGTGAGAAATGGGAACCTGAAAGCATTGATTTTGGAGGCAAGATGCTGCACTCAGAATGGGACACGGTATTTCTGAGGTGCTCGTGGGACTCCAAGGAGGGAGAAGTCTTGTTCATTTCTATCCTAACTAGCTCTCCTCATTTGAGAGAGAGTAATGTGTAAGATCCAGACTCAGTTTTTTCTGATGGGGCCAAAGCTGTCTTGACCCCAGCCCCGTTCTCCTACCAGACCCAGCAACCTCGGCCTGGCCCTCTCTCTTGGAGCCCTCCCCATGAATAAAGCAAGCACAAGTCATTCTTTTATCTTTATATTGGGGTTTTAAAAAAAAGAATATAATGGATGTGGAAGAAGGGACAAGGCTTCTCTCTATGACTGACAGCAGGGGCTGATGGGAACCAGAAGCTCCAGGGAATTTAAAAAAAATAAAATATATATTTATACATTTATATAGATCATGTTACGCATGTGAGTCCCAGAGCAGCAGGAAGCAGCAGCAGAAAGCAACTAGCACGCACAAACACACATGTGTGTACACCACACACTCAAGCAATGCACTTCCTTTGACTATGGCACAGTAGCAATTCCCACCCCGCCAAAATTGTTTTCAAAAGAAACTTCCCTTTTAAGAAAAGGGCCACCCAGTGATTGTTGCTCTCGTGACCAGAAAAAAAAAAAAACAGGCTAACATCACCTTTAAGGCTGGCAGTGGCCATTTTCTTCTCCTCCCTGCAAAGGCAGGAGATGCAGTTTTTGACACTGAGGCGGGAGGGCCACATCACTGGCCCTTACAAATGCTTCAGACAGTTGTCTTCAAGACAATGCAGTTTTTTTGCCAGTGTTTTGATACCCCAGGGAGTAGTTGGGATGGAAGTCATACACCCCTTGCTTCCTTTAAGATGGCCTCTAGGCAGTGGGTTTTTAGTAAGCCTGGCAAAAATTCTGGAGCCGATCTCAGGCGAGGCTGAGCACCAGGCGGGATCTAGGGACCGAGGGTCTGTGTTTTAAGCCTCCCGCCCACTAGAAATTATTGACCTCCAGAGTTTTTTTCTTTCTTTTAACTTAAAGGGGAGGTACACTGTACACCCCGCCTCCACTGGGAGAAAGGGGGCCCGATCCCTAGCTACCCACCCCCACCCCCAGACACACACACATACACACCAACTAAGGCACAGCCAGGGTGGGCAGGCATGCTTTGGCAATGAGGCCCCTCTGGAGGCCCAGGGTATGAACAGCTGCAAAAGGGGTGTGTGATGTGGGGCTCAGCACCTTTGGAGGTGGCAGTGGGCTGTGGGGCAGAGAAGGACGAAGTCTCAGGGCTCCTGATCGATCAGAAGGAAAGTGGGAAGAGCTGGTCAGACAACAGGCAGTTGAGAAAACAAACAGGATGACCAGAAAAAAGCCCCAAAGCAGAACGTGTGGAAAAGAAGAGAGCAGAAAGAGAAGGAAGCCAAACAGGATGTGGTAACCAAACAGAACAGAAGGGAGACAGAGCAGAAGGAGTGAAAGAAACAGAAAAGAGAGGAGGGTGAGCTGGGAAGGGTATGAGAAACGCAGGAGAGAGGGGAGCCGGGAAGAGGACCTCAGAGGGCCTCAGAACTTGGTAAAGAACCTCCACTGAGAAGAGGGAATCGGTAGCCCCTCCAGGGCAGAGCCTCAGACCCTGACAAAAACCAGGCGGGCCGAGTACACCAGGTCGGCCACGTAAGCCAGCAGGTTGATGGCTGTCAAGATGGCCACAGCCAGTCGGCGGTCCCAGGAGCACACGTAGTAGGTGTGCCTGTTGCTGCAGCTCACATCCATGGACCGCCAGGGCTGGCCGTGGTACTTCTCGTTGAACTGGTAGAGCGGCCAGATGATCAGAGCCGTGGCGTAGAAGAGGACGGAGAGCAGGGCCAGCCCGGACAGGAAACTGGGGAAGGGGATGGGCAGCATGTTGGTGCAGTCGCCCAGGTTCAGCAGGATGGCCACGGCCGCCAGGATGAAGCAGATGGAGTACACGGCCACGCACCACTCTAGGGCCGGCTGGTGCTGGTACAGGTAGGGGTTGCTGATGAAGGCGAAGATGACGCAGGCCACGAAGGTCTCCAGCACCTTGAGCAGGCCTGGCACGGTGGCCATGTAGCCAGTGATCTCGCCGGGCCGTGCCCGGGTCCAGGCCACTTCGGTGGCATAAGCCACGCAAGCGATGCAGGAGAAGGTGGTGGCGGCAATGGCGTGGTCCCGGGAGCGGCCGTGAGACAAAAACTGGACGTATGTGGTAGGGTAGATGATGGAGGCCGAGAGGCAGAAGAGGGCGGCGTAGCAAGCGTAGGTGATGGGAAAGTTGCGCCAGGACAGGGGGAAGCGGGCCTGGAGCCCGCCTAACTCAACGATGAGGATGATCAGGGTCACGGCGAAGCAGAAGCACCAGGTAAACATGGACCAGTTACCCATGGCGCCCGTCCAAGCACCCACACTGGCCACCAGCGAGAAGGCCACGCAGGTGGAGATCAGCTGCAGCAGGCGGAGGAGGCCCAGGGGCTGGGTCAGGGCCCGAGGGGACCCCACGGTGGTCGGGAAGCCCGGGCCCGAGGACGACGTGGTCGTGATGGTGGTGCGGGTCACCGTCACCGGCATGGCTGGGTGGAGGGGAAAGAAGGTGTCCTAAGAAGGTTCCAAACTGGAGGATCCAGGCCCCCAGCACTTGCCTCCCTGGAGTGAGGGGGCGCGTGGACAACGTAATCTCGACTCTAGCTGAGGCGTACCCAGGATGTGAGTTTTCATACTGGGCCAGTCCCAGCCCTCCAGGGACGAGGTGGTCGCCCGGTGCTAGCCTCCTCCTCCCTCCAGCCTCATGTCAGAGCTGAGGAGTGTAGTCCCCTATCTCTTTTCTTCCCAGGACCCTCCTTTCCTCTCCCCAAAAGCCAACTCCTGTGAAACCACGTATCTTTCTTCCCACTCCAAACACACAAAGCTGCCCTCCGTCCCTCAGGGACTCAGCAACCCAACCACTCAAGATTCTGCTCTAGGGACTTCCCTGGCAGTCCAGTGGTTAAGACTCAGAGCTCCCAATGCAGGGGGCCCAGGTTTGATCCCTGGTCAGGGAACTAGAGCCCGCGTGACGCAACTAAAACCCAGCACAGCCAAATAAATAAATAAATATTAAAAAAAAAAAACAGCAGCAGCAGCAGAAGAGGCCCTGTCTTCTGTGACCTCTCAGAAACTCCATCTCTGCACTTCCTCCCTTTGGGTACCCAGGACGCTGCAGCCCAGCCTCTCTTTCACCTAAGGGTCCTAAACATTGCCAGCCTCCAGACATTCAGGAGTCCAGCCTCTACATGGAAACCTTCTCAGGGACCCACATCTGATCAGAGCTTCCGTCCTTCCAGCCTGTCTCCTCTCACCAAGCAGGAGGCTGGCCCCAGCTCCTGGAAGACAAGAGCCCTCTCTCCCTTCTGGAACTGGGTCTTACCAATCTCGGCAGCACCCCTGCCATGGCCAAATGGATTTCGGTCTGGAGTACTTCAACCCAAAGGGAGCCTCTCCCCCTTCCCCAACATGAGGTCCAGCCCCCTAGTTCCCCAACTTCTGGGAAACTCAGCTCCCCAGATTCTCTCAGCTGGCCCAGTGCCACTGAAATCTCTCGTTCTCCCTCATTCAGAAATACAGCTTCAGACCCTAGGGCTCTGGGCCCTCAGCCGTGAGCACACCAGACTCAGGGAAATCAACTTCTTTCTTCTATTCCTTTAGAACCTTTGACTTTGATGTCCTTGTCCTAAACACCCTCAGGAATGAAGGCCTGGCCTCAATTCCTGACCAGGTGTCCAGGTCCTCCCTCAGGCCCTAAAATAGCTGATCTCTTGGTTGCCACCTCTAAAAATCTCAGGAGGCCTCTCTCAGCCCCGAGACAATGCAACACCCTCCTTCCAGTGTCAGGAGGGCAGTGTCACAGCCCAGCTGTCCCTGTACAATAGCTTCCTGGGGACACAGGAGGCCACAGCTGCTGAACATACTTCTTCCTCATATCCACAGGTGTCTGGGCCCCTCCCTTTGGAACGCAAGGTCCCAGGTCTCAGGATCCAGGAGTCCAAGTTCCCAGCCCCTCCTCCTTAAGACCCAGGAGCACTGCACTCCCCAACTCTTATCTCAGAACCCAATGTTCAGGGCCCTCAGCCCGCTCCTTCCTCTGACAGAGCAGCTCAGGCCTCAGGTCCCTCTCCCTCAGACCCAGGAGTCCAGACATCAGAACCTCTCCCTCCTCAGACCCAAGAGTCAGAGCCCCCAGCCCACTCACCAGCGGTCTTTGCTGAGGACCCCACCAGAGAAAGATCCGGCTCTGGAGGCGGATTAAGTCAGACACCTGGAAAAGGCTAGTCAGAGGACAGGAGGGAGAAACAACGTCAGCGTCCGCTCAGACCCGGCTCCACCCTCCCGGGACCCAGGCGACCAGCCGGCCTACTGCCCGGGGCTCGCCCAGAACGCGCGGTGAGGCTCTGCAGACCCTGGGCGCGCCTCCCAGCCAGGGCGGGGATTTGGCCCGGAGCCCCTAAGAGGTCGGGGATGGTGACCTCGGGGAAGCCCCGCCCCGCCCCTTCTTTCCTCCTCTTTCCGCAAACTGCGAGGACGGGAGTGGAGGGAACCTAGCCAAAGTGCACGCCCCGCGGGCCGGCGTGGGCGTGTATGATCGTAACCCTGCCCCCGCCAGGAAAGCCGCGGGGCTGGCGGCCGGAGGGCCCTGGGCGGTGGCTGAGGGGGCGGGCGGCCCGGGCGGCGCCGCGTCTCCGTCCTTATAAGGGATTCAAGTCAGCCCAGCCATTTGGAATGTGGCGGGGGCCGGGAGGCGGTGCTGGGACCCCCGCCCTGCTCGCGGATTCCGGCGGGGGAAGGGGGGCAGAGCCCGGGCGCCGGGTCGCAGGAGGAGAAGCCTGCACGTTCGAATTTCTGGGTCCTTCAAAATGTGAGTTCTGGGTCCCCATAAAGTGGGCCGGGAGCCTGGACCCCCCCCCCACAAGAGCGTCTCTAAGAGAGGAGTGGCTGTGTACCCGGACCCCTGGGTTCGCCTTGCGGACGCCTCCCGCCCCGCGGCGGGAAACTGTGCACAGTGTTGGAATCCAGTCCAGAGAGAGTGGCCACACCTCCCAGCACCTCCCGTAAGGCTGGTCTCCCAGGTACAGCTGGACCTCCCGGGCCACCTCCCGCTTCCCCCGACCCGTTAGGAGGAAGTTGGGACAGGCCCAGGAGGCAGAGGGCGGGCCACAGTCAGTTAAGTCTCCCCTGGAAGGTAAGTTAGCGCACGGACCACCCGGAGAGGAGGAGTCCGTCTCCACTCTCAGAGCCCCCAGCCGTCGCCTGAGGTCAGAGCTCAGGAAAGAACTGCCAGAGACCCGAGGAGGGAGAGGAAAACACCCTTTGGCTTCGTGGAGAAGCTGAGGATTTCGCTGCCACGCCCAGTCCTCTCCCCACCTCCACGCCAGACACCACACCCCATCACTCCGCAAACTCAGAAGCGCGCCCCGTGCTGTCAGCACCAAAGGGCCCAGCTCCATCTTCACTTTGGGACCACGGGTGCTGAAGCTCCATCTCTGGCCTTTTGAGTCTAAAGTTCGGATTCTGCCCCCTGGATGCGGAGGAGGTCAGTAATTCTGAACCCCAGCCACTCCCTTTCTCAAACCCAGGACTCCCAGTTCCAAGCTTCTCCAGGCCCCCGGCCCCTCCTCCCTCAGACCCAGGGGTCCAGGTCCCCAGCCCCCCCCTCCCTCAGACCCAAGGGTCCAGGTCCCCCGCCCCTCCTCCCTCAGACCCAGGATCCAGACCCCCGGCCCCTCCCCCCTCAGACCAAGGAGTCCAGACCCCCGGCCCCTCCTCCCTCAGACCCAGGGGTCCAGGCCCCAACCCCCCTCCTTTTTCAGATGTATGACCCGTATGAGTTCATGTCCTCAGCCCTCTCCTCTCCAGAACCCGAGTCCTGACCCAGCCCATCTTTCTAGGGACTGAAGACATTTGGAATCCCTCTGCACCCAAGAATCCTGGACGCTGCTCCCACTCTAGGGGGGTCCTGCAGCCTCACCTTACGGGCCTGTGGCGGCTGCGGCTGGTGCAAAAGCGACAGCTGCAGACTAGGAGGGTCTGCGGTCTGGGTGCGGTTGGAGGGCCGGGGAGTGAGCGCGGGCAGGGCTGGGGGCGGGGCCGGAGCTCTGGGCTGGAGCCGAGTAAGGGACACCCCCTGCCAGGGCTATCCCAGTCCCGCCCCGAGGGCGGGGCCAAGATAAGACCACATCCCCAGAGATAAATACACAGCAGCTCTCCCGCCCCCGCCAGCGGTAGGGGTGGAGGGCTGAGGTCACCGTTTCCGTGGTAACAAAACAGGAAGACACAACAGCTGGCGGAGTGGATGCTCCTGGGGGTGCCCTCCTCGACACAGCACTGGAGGTCTCCAGAGCAGTCCCGGGGAAGGCCGTTGCCATGGCAACCCGTCTATTTAGACTTTGTTTAGGACAGAGCCCCCCAGCTCAGGTCCCCACCCCAGTCTCACCTCAGTCCGTTCTCCCTCTCCCTTCCTGGCCCTGCTCTTCCAGGATGGACGAAATTTTGGACTTCTAGGTCGCGGTGGGTTGGGGGACTGGGCCTCTCAATTTAATGGGGTCTGTTTGCTAGGGTCTGTGTCTCCTGGGTCCCTGAAATAGGAAAGAGTTGAGGGTGTGCCGATCCCTAGGCTTTAGGGGGTTTCTGGGCTGAGGTCCCCGACTCCTGGCTCCCCAAAAGAACAGTGGTTCGATTCCTGTAAGTAAGGAATTTGAGGGAAGAGCAGAATGGGTCTCCTAATGCCCATTTACACTGGGATTCGCGGTGTAAGGGACTGATGGGCCAGACCCCTAGGTCCCATATGTCCCTGTCGATGGGGGCAGGGGAGGGGGGTTGTTGGTAGCAGGACTTCTGAGATCGAGGCCATAGGAGTTGGGGGCATGGACTCCGAGGCCGCGGGCCCAGAATCTTGGCTCAAAAGAGCAATTGCGGCTCAGGCTCCTGGGTTTTCGGAGCAGATGTGGTTGCTAGCCAGGCCTCTTGGGTCTGTAAGGGAGAGATATTTTTGGCTTGCAATCCTGGCTCCTGAAAAGAGGGAGGGGCTCAGAAGCTTAATGAGGACGAGACTGGGGGCTGGGGGTGCCAGATTCCTGGTTCCTGCAAGAGGGGAGGGCCCAAGGGGCTGGTCTGCCCGGGCCCCAGAGCACGGGGGTCCTTTTTTAGGGGCGGCTCTGGGGCCCTGAGACGGATTGACGAGCCAAGAAGCAAGCGGCAGCTGAAGGTGGGGAGGCACTGCCCGGGGCTGGGGTGGGGCGGGGACCGGGACGCCTGGGTCCCTCCCTGCTGGCCGGGCTTACTCACCGCGCTCTGCAGTCGTCCCCGGCGCGGCCTTGCTCTAGGCTGCCGTTGGGCGGGGCCTCGTGGCGGCCGCGGAGGCTCGGCGACCGTTAACTGCCCGCGTTGCTACTGCTGGGTGTCTTCCAGGCCGACTACTGAGAAGGCTTTGAGGCCGAGTCCCAGGGTGGAAGACTCTCGCGTCGCGAAGGGAGGGGTCCGAAGGGATGCGGGAGCTCTGTGTCCCCGGCTGCGTGCCCTACGGAGGTGGGAGGGGCTGGGGGGGGCACCTGGACGCTGTGTGCTCTGCAGAAGTTGGGGGGGTATGGTTGGGGTGGGAGGGGTGTGGAGCCTGTATGCCCACTTTTGTGCCCTGCAAAGGCGGTAGACACAGACCCTCTCTGTCATTATGTGCCCTGCTTAGGGGAGGGGGGTCTCTATGAGCCCCGCATCAGGATGTGGAAGGAGTCAGGACATGGTATTCGTTGGAGGTTCTCCAAGGACGACCCCAGGTTCTATTCACACACCTCCTTGACGCCCCCGGGGGGTCAGGCCCCCCTTCTTGCCCAAATCAATCACTCTCTTTGCTTGACCCTGAAGTGGCACTCCTGAGATACCCCAAATAGTCAAGGGGCTATCACCACTCACAGTTTACTGCAGTTGTGCTCGCCGGTAGAAGTGTTCCCCCTTTAAGGCATTCAAACTTCAAAACAGCAGAGTTCAGGGTAGCAGGAACAGGAAGCAAACATTTAAAGAGTGAGTCATCAGTTGTGACCCCGTAGGGTTCCCAGGTCTTGTGTAATCTGGCCTCGTGTATGTGCCACTGGTTCAGAGTGCTTACCCGTCCTGCAGGAGAGCAACCCAACCCCAAAGATGCTGTCTCCAACCTGGCACTGAAACCCAGTCTCAAACAGGACGTGCCTCTGTTCTCTGAGAGTAGCTGCTTTCGGGCGATCAATACACGGCCCCGCCCCCTAACTTCCTAATAAACTGGGTTCCTTGATCAGAAGCAATATTGTGTGTGTTAACATGACGGTGAATAGGATCATTGAACGTGTACACAGATGCTGCCATTGGCAGGAGCGAGGAAGGCAAGGAAAGCAAATACAGCCCAGAGTTAATTACAACCCAGGCAGGAAAAAGTCATTGTCCGATCCATGATGGAAAGGGTCCAATGTGCTCCTCGGGCGACCAGGTATTTGGCTGGTCTCCCTAGGAAACCGCACCACGCTGGGGGCCCAGCACTGCTTGCAGCAAGGTGGGCCGACATCAGTGACAAAGTTCCATAGCTTTGATGAAGCAAATCCATACATAGCCCACCATGGCTGCTTTGTTCAAAAGCCCATTAAGCAGGTACTGGGGAGATTGGGGAAGCTGACGGAGAGCCACAGAAGTCATCTGATCTACTTAAGTCTTAATAGCTCTCTCTGTAATGGAGGGTCTTGAGGGAAGAGTTTACCTGGGTACAGATTATGAACTGGTTTTTGCTCCCAACATTTCTGACACCAAATGTGTGTATGTGTTGGGTTTTTTGTTTTGTTTTTGTTTTCACATCAACCACCAATTCTCTAACTCTGGACACGAAATGAGTGTCCAATGATTCAATTCTTTTTTTTTTTTTAATAAATTTATTTATTTATTTTTGGCTGCATTGGGTGTTCGTTGCTGAGCGGGGGGACTACTCATTGCGGTGGCTTCTCATTGCAGAGCACAGGCTCTAGGCGCGTGCGCTGGGTAGTTGTGGCACACGGGCTTAGTTGCTCTGCGGCATGTGGGATCTTCCCAGACCAGGGCTCGAACCCATGTCCCCTGCATTGGCAGGCGGATTCTTAACCACTGTGCCACCAGGGAAGTCCTCAGTTCAATTCTGAATCTGGGTATACTAACCACTTGGAGTTATCATCAGACCCCACAGGTTAAGGGCTCAGTCCCACAAGGCCACCCCCACTTCAAACTCCAGCCACAAGTCCCAGGCCTCCCATGCTTCTGAGGACAGTGGGAATATCCCCTCCAAATAAAGGAGTTATTACATGTTGAACCCTTTGCCACTACCAAATGAGATAAAATCTCCATTACAGCAGATATTCCTTAGCCTGTTTTGTTCTCACATAGGAGACATTCATAAATATATTTGTTGATAAATGAATGAAATTTTCATTTTCAACTGGCTAGAAAACTGGGGTTCCCAGGACTCCCACCCTGGGTTCCATAATTTGCTAGAATGGCTCGCAGAACTCAAGAAGGCCCTTTATTTAGTACTACTGACTTGTTATAAAGGATGCAACTTGGGAACAGCCAAACAGAAGAGAGACACAGAGCAAGGTATGGGGGAGGGATGCAAAGCTCCCATGCCCTCTCCGGGCTCACCGCCTCCCAGCACCGCGATGCAGTTACCAAGCTGGAAGCCCTCTGAATCCCGTTGTTCAGGCTGTTTACGGAATTTCCATTATGGAAGCATGGTTGATTAAATCACTGGCCATCAGTGAACAAGCTCAATCTCCCTAACCTCTCTGCAGGTCAGGGAGTGGGGCTGAAAGTTCCAATCCTCTAATCACATGATTGGTTCTTCGTGCATCCAACCCCCATCCAGAGCTAACTAGGGGCCTATCAAGAGTCATCTCATTAGTATAAACTCAGGTAGGGTTGAAGGGGGCTTATTATGAATAACAAAAGACAACCCTCCCACCCTTATCGCTCAGGAAATTACAAGCGTTTTAGGAACTTGGTGCAGGGAACTGAGGACAAAAACCAAATATACAGATTTTTTTTTTTTAATTTATTTATTTTATTTATTTATTTTTGGCTGCATTGGGTCTTCATTGCTGCGCACAGGCTTTCTCTAGTTGCGGCGAGCGGGGGCTACTCTTCATTGCAGTGCGTGGGCTTCTCACTGCTGTGGCTTCTCTTGTTGTGGAGCACAGGCTCTAGGTGCGCAGGCTTCAGTAGTTGTGGCACATGGGCTCAGTAGTTGTGGCTCACAGGCTCTAGAGCGCAGGCTCAATAGTTGTGGCACAGGGGCTTAGCTGCTCCGCAGCATGTGGGATCTTCCCAGACCTGGGCTTGAACCCGTGTCCCCTGCATTGGCAGGCAGATTCTTAACCACTGCGCCACCAGGGAAGCCCCAATGTACAGATCTTATGTCATTGTAACACACAGATCTTTCCTTACTCTGGGTCCAGTGGAAAATTTCATGCATTTATCAACAAATATATTTATGAGTGTCTCCTATGTGAGAACAAAACAGGCTAAGGAATATCTGCTGTAATGGAGATTTTATCTCATTTGGTAGTGGTAAAGGGTTCAACATGTAATAACTCCTTTATTTGGAGGGGATATTCCCACTGTCCTCAGACTATTGGATTCTCAGGAATGTCCCTGAGTGATAGGCTTCCCAATTTTTATGGTGTTTGTCTTCCATGCTCTGGCATGTGTGTGTGTGTGTGTTTTATTAATACATACAGTGTATCTATCTGCTCTTTCCTGCTTTCAAGGTCTTATCAGTATGATGTCATCCGTGCAATTGACCAGAACGGAATCTATGGGGTACTGAAAGCACAAGTTGCTTTTATAGGAGAATTTGGTGATTCTGGAACCGTATCATACAGCATATCTCTAGCTTGGGAAAAGATCAAAATTCAAAACTTGAAGTACAGTTTCTACTGTACGCAAATCGTTTTTGCACCATTGTAAGATCAAACAATTGTACGTCAAACTGTCATAAGCGGGGGACTGTCTGTATTCTTTCTTTCCTTGCCTGTATTGAAGTGGATGTCTCCCCCTAATCCGTTCTCCGGCCATAACACCTTTTTGTTATCTATGGACCTCCTGGTCACTTGCCCTCATTTTCCACATGGTTTCCTGAAATTCTATGGAGAGCATCCCACCAGATATGCCATGAACAGGTCATATTGTTTTCCCCCGGCCCTCAGAGTGGCCTGGTTGCCTCTGGCTGTTGCCAGACTCATCTGTTCATCTCCATGAGCTACAAAAAATATTATCATGTTTTTATTTGCCCCACGATGTGAAAATGCTGGGAAGCACTGACTTAGAAGGCCTGCCACGTGAACATTACCCTCCACACCATAGCAGTCACCTATCCACTCAGTTCTGCACGCCTCTCAGACATCAACCATTTCTCCTTCCATCTTACTTTCTCAGCAATGGCCACTTACGACCTTTTCTTAACTTGATAGGTACCCCCAGTCCATCAGCCCTCTCTTTTCTTTGCTTTCCTCTTTCTTCAGATATGATTCCACGGTCCATCATTTCAGTGACCCTCTTTTCATGTTAGGATATCTAACGCTCCTCTGCCCTTCTGTCTTTGTATCACCCCAGTCTTTGAAAAGAAAAAGCCCATCTATAGATGATCTAAATAGACATTTCTCCAAAGAAGACATACAGATGGCCAAAAAGCATGTGAAAATTTGCTCAACATCGCTAATTATTAGAGAAATGCAAATCAAAAGTACGATGAGGTATCACCTCACACAGGTCAGAATGGCCGTCATAAAAAAGTCTACAAACAATAAATGCTGGAGCGGGTGTGGAGAGAAGGGAACCTTCCTACACTGTTGTTTGGAATGTAAATTTGTACACCCACTATGGAGAACAGTGTGGAGGTTCCTTAAAAAACTAAATAGAACTACCACATGATGCAGCAATCCCACTCCTGGGCATTCATCTGGAGAAAACCATAATGTGAAAAGATACATGCATTGGAATGTTCATTGCAGCATTAGTCACAGTAGCCAAGAAGTGGAAACAACCTAAATGTCCCATCGA